GGCCCCGGGCGGCCGGACTTGGGGGGGGGCGGGCGGGCCTTCTCTGTGATTGACAGGAGGAGAGGAATGGGGCGGGGCTAGGACGTGATTGGCAGGAAGAAGGGCTCCGGGGCGGGGATTGGTCGTTGATTGACAGGAGGGGTGGAGGGGGAGAAAGAAACCCTCTGGATTTTCTGGGGAAGGCAGATACTCCCTCTAGTAGCATTACTTTATGTATTTATTTGCTTTATAGATATGTGCTGTCTTAGTCTCAGATGAGAATGCAGAGTGGCTCATGTGATACCCCCTCACAACAACCCTGCGAGGTAGATCGAAATGAGTAGCCGTGTTATTTTGTCTGTAGAAAAGGGCCAAGAGTCCAGTAGCACCTTAAAAAGGTAAAGGTAAAGGTTCCCTTGCTCGAAAGCCAGTCGAATCCGACTCTAGGGTTGCGGTGCTCATCTCCGTTTCAAAGCCGAAGAGCCAGCGCTGTCCGAAGACGTTTCCGTGGTCATGTGGCCGGCGTGACTAAACACCAAGGCGCACGGAACGCTGTTCCCTTCCCACCGAAGTGGTCCCTATTTATCTACTTGCAATTTCTTGCTTTCGAACGGCTAGGTTGGCAGGAGCTGGAACTAGAGACGGGAGCTCACTCCATCATGCGGCACACTCGGGTCTCGAACTGCTGAACTACTGACCTTCCACAGCCTGCAGTTCAGCGTCTTAACCACTTGAGCCACCGCAGCTCCTCTAGTAGCATTACTTTATGTATTTATTTGCTTTATATATATGCTGTCTTAGTCTCTGATGAGAATGCAGAGTGGCTCATGTGACATTCATTTTATCCTCACAACAACCCTGCGAGGTTGACCGAGACGGGTAGCCGTGTTATTCTGTCTGTAGAAAAGGGCCAAGAGTCCAGTAGCACCTTAAAGGCTTGCAAAAAAATTGGCAGGGTGAGAGCTTTCGTGAGCTTTCACTGAAGAAGTGAGCAGTGACTCGCGAAAGCTCATACCCGGCCCCTAGTCTTTAAGGTGCTCCTGGACTCTGGCTCTTTTCTACTCTAATCTAGGGTTAGGCTAAGAGGGTGTGAATGGCCCACAGTCACTCAGTGGCAGAGTGGGGATTCGAACCTGGTACCTCTAATGTCATGTTGAGACAAGAAGCTGGTCTCAGTACAGTCGAATTGAATATCTGGTTGCATTCTCTCTGCTTTTGGCTTAAAGTCCACCTTTTTCCCGTTGGGTTATTTCCTTTTCTATTGGCCGCATCCCCTTACCCTCAGTGGTCCACCAGAGCCCCTCTTTACAAATCTTTGAAACCCAAAATTTATATGACTGCTCCTTTATATTTAGCTAATATTCCCAACCCAAATCATAGATGGGCTTTTTCCAGAGCTAGATTTGACACTTTCCCATCGGCAGTTCTTGCTGGAAGATTTCAACGCATCCCTAGGCATTTGAGATTTTGCTCATGCCCCTCCGAGTCAATTGAGACCCTTTCCCATATATTATTCCATTGTTCCTATTATGCAGAAGAAAGAGCCCTTTTAATTACACCTATAATAAGGTCATTCAGGCACCAAGGACAATTAGTAATCCACTCTGAGGAACTTTTGCTGAAACATCTATTGGAGGACAAATCCACTGTAATATCAAGGAATGTTGCCAAATTTCTCTTTATTGCATTTACAAAGCGTAAGCACCTCCTCAGTGTTCCTTATGATGTCTCTTCTCTGTAAGGATTTTTGCTTTTGATTCTGCATGCTGTTTAATGGGTCTCTGACCGTAATAAAAATGAATGAATGAATGTGGATTCGGACCTGGGCCTCCCGGATCACAGTCCAATGCCCAAACCATTACAACCACCCTGTTTTGTTATCCACATACCGTATTATTATTGTCCTCCTTCCTCTCCTTAATAACTGGCAGTCACCTGGCTTTTGAGCATTTACGGTTTGGTGTTTGTGTTTAAATTTGCTTCTGGAAGCCATCTTGATTCTGTTGCATAGAGGAAAAAAAGGGGTACAATAAGAGAGGAAACTGGTTTTAATGCTTTGTGTAATCGTACAAGGTGTATGCAGGGGTCAGAGTGTTGGGCACAGATCCGGGAGACCCAGCTTTGAACCTCTGCTTCACCATGGAAGCTCGCTGGGTGACCTTGGGCCAGTCACACACCCTTCAGCCCAGCCTACCTTGCAGGGTTGCGGTGAGGATAAAGTGGAGAGTGATGTAAGCTGCTTTGGGGGCCCATTGGGGAGAAGAGTGGTGTATAAATGAAGTAAGCAATACAAATCTTGCTAACATTGCAACAACGCTTGCAGGTAGGCTGGTGTTATCTCCCCGTCGGAATGGGCATGGGTGAGATTTGAACTGTGAATTCTGAGTGTGTGCAAGAGTGGACCTTGACTTGGCTTGATTTTGGTCCCCATCCACTGAACTTCACTGCGGTGCCACCGCTTTCAGAAGGGTGCCGGTCTTTCCCATTCGCTGCCTCCTCCTCTCCCCACTGCAGTTTATTTATTATTTATTTATTTATTGGATTTATATCCCGCCCTCCCCAAATGGGCTCAGGGCGGCCGACAACAGAGGCAAATGCCATAACAAACAGTTAAAACAACATAAAAACAATCATTAAATAAAGTGCAGTGCTCTTGATGTTGCGTCTTATAGTCCAAGATGGGTTCCATTCGTCAACCTAACCTGACAGCATACGTTCTTCGGTCATCTAGGCGTCTTCCCAGGGCCGGCTCACCTCTAGGTCTAATCCACCGTCGAAGATGGCAGCTCGGTGGTGGTACAATAGCGGCGGCGGCTCCTATGCAAAGGCCTGGCGGAAGAGCTCCGTCTTACAGGCCCTGCGGAACTGCGCCAGGTCCCGCAGGGCCTGGATCTTCTCTGGGAGCTCGTTCCACCAGACAGGAGCCACCGCTGAGAAAGCCCTGGCCCTGCTTGCAGCCAACTTGATGTCCTTGGGGCCTGGAACCACCAATAGGTGCTGCGCCCCCGACCGTAGTGCTCTTGGGCAGTGTTCCCTCTAAGCTGAGTTAGTGTGAGCCAGCTCACAGTTTTTTAGCCTCTGGAAGGATGGCTCCAGAGCAACCTAATTTATGCAGTAGCCAATGAGTTGGCTCATTCATTCCCAACTTTAATGCCAGTAGCTCACAAAGTAGAATTTTTGCTCAGAAGACCGCACAGCTTAGAGGGAGCATTGCTCTTGGGGGAACATATGGGGAAAGGCAGTCCCTTAGGCGGTCCCTTAGGTACTCTGGACTCTGGCCATCAAGGGCTTTATAGGTAAGAACCAGCACTTTGAAGCGAATCCGGTACGCTATAGGCAGCCAGTGCAGCGCCTTCAGCACAGGTTGGACGTGGTCCCATCTAGTGAGAGGATAAAGTTAAGGGGATAAAGGGAGGCTGCGGTTGCGTTGAACCCAACCGTTGAACCCAACCTGCTGACACCTTTTCTGGCACCAGCCAAGTGTTTTTAGGAAGTGGGCCTGGGGCCAGGTAGGCTTCTGGTTGACCACTGGAGATCTGATCGGTTCTGCAGATTTCTAAAAACGTCACTGGGGCAGCAGCTACCACCACAGCACAAGGTAGGGTTGCCAAGTCACTAACCTCGAATAGCGGGGGCGCGTTGGTCCCTGCCTGGGGCATTTGCGAGTGCATGCCATGATGATGTCACCCGGAAGTAACATCATCACGTTGGGCGCATCGCCGGCTGACACTCTAGCAATCAGCCTGGAAAACTCTATGGTACCTTAGAGTTTTCAGGCTGATTGCTAGAGCGTCAGCCGGCGACGTGTCCAATGTGATGACGTCACCTCTGGGTGACATCATCGCGTCGGGCACGTCGGCCTGAACCGGGCACTTTGGGGGCGGGGTTCCCCCCGCTGGCCTTTTCCGGACCGGCGGATTGGGACCCTTTTAGCAGGGGAATCTCTGCCCTTAAGAACAGATAAAAGGAAGTCCTTCTTCACCCAAAGAGTGATGAACACATGGAATTCACTGCCACAGGAGGTGGCGGTGGCTACAAGCATGGACGGCTTCAAGAGGGAACTGGATAAACATATGGAGCAGAGGTCCACCAGTGGCTCTTAGCCACGAGGTATAGATAGGAACTCTCAGTCTGGGGCAAGGGATGCTCTGTCTTCTTGGTGCTTGGGGGGGGCAACAGTGGGAGGGCTTCTAGTGTCCTGGCCCCACTGCTGGACCTCCTGGTGGCCCCTGGTATTGTTGGTCACTGTGTGACCTAGAGTGTTGGACTGGATGGGTCATTGGCCTGATCCAGCATTGGCTTCTCCTTGCATATGGAGCAGAGGTCCATCAGTGGCTATTAGCCACAAGGTATAGATAGGGACTCTGGAACAAGTGATGCTCTGTCATCTTGGTGCTTGGGGGGGGGTCAACAGTGGGAGGGCTTCTAATGTCCTGGCCCCACTGCTGGACCTCCTGAGGGCCCCTGGTATTTCTGACCACTGTGTGATACAAAGTGTTGGACTGGATGGGCCTTTGGCCTGATCCAACATTGGCATCTCTTATGTTCTTATGTTCTCTGATGTTCTTCTGTGCCGCCATGGGACCTGGATGCCCTACCACAAGGATCTGCACTGTGTGAGTGAAGGGAAGCTGCGGCAGCCATTTTGTGGCTGGCCCCGCCTCCTGCAGCAGCCATTTTGTGGCAGCTGTGTTGTTGCTGTGCCCACGGAGCCCCGTGTGCAGGGGAGGGTGGAATAAAAACTGAGCAAATAAATACATGTGCCATGCCAGAGTTCCAAATGTGCCTCCGGGCTCAGAGAGGTTGGGGACCCACAGGGTAGTGAGTGGATGGAAGGAGAGGCCAACCCAGCTGTTGTCGCTGAGCACCGCAGAAGAGTCCGAGGCAATCCCCTCCAGGTGACCCCCTGTGATAATGTCTCCTGTTGTAGAAGCCACATCTGCTTTGGGATGAAATCGGCGGAAGAGATGCGGCAGCAGGCTCACCTCCAGGTGGTCAGCAAGAACCTTTACAGCCAAGACAACAACCACTCCCCTCTGCTCTACGGCGTGCTGGACCACCGTATGGTAAGACTGCACACCGCGGTGGGTGTATTCTGGTGTGGGGCTGTGAGCAGGGCAAAAATACAAGAAATAAGCGTGTAAGAACACAAGAAGAGCTCTGCTGCATCAGGCCTGTTGTCTGTCTCGCGCAGCATCCTGTCTCACACAGCGGCCGACCAGTTGGAGGGCCAGCAAACAGGGCACTGAGGCCAAGGCCTTCCCCCGATGTTGCTTCCTAGCACTGGTATTTTTCCTGCCTCTGAATAGGGAGATGCTCTTTACTCAAACATGGCTAGTCGCCAGTGAGGAACATTTCCTCCCTGAATCCGTCTTAACTCCATTTTAAAGCCATTTTTGCTTGTGGCCATTGCTGTTGATACATCTCCTTTCTCCAGGGCACGAGCGAGAAGGATCGTCCGTGCGAAACCTGCGGAAAGAATCTGGCCGAGTGTTTGGGGCATTATGGTTACATCGATCTGGAGCTGCCCTGTTTCCACGTGGGGTACTTCAAGGCCGTGATCAGCATTTTACAGGTAAAGCCGTGTGTTTTGATCTCGAGGTCCAAATAGAATTTTCTTACATTAGTCGGTCTAGGTGGGTACCGATGCTCCCTCTAAGCGGTGGAGTCTTGTGAGCAAACAGTCTACCTTGTGAGCCACTGGCATTCAAGTTGCGAGCGAGCGATCTGGCTGCTGCATAAATCAGTTTTTCTCTGGAGCCCTCCTTCCTGAGCGAAGGCAAAAAAATGTGTGAGCTGGAAGCTAAAAAACTGTGAGCTGGCTCACACTAACTCAGCTTAGAGGGAACACTGGGGGGGAACCCGTGTTGCTCTGAAGCAGTAGAACAAAGTTGGAGTCCAGCGGGCACCTTTGAGACCAACAAAGTTTTATTCCGGGTATGAGCTTTTGTGTGCATGGCACACTGAGGAAACTGAGGAAGTTTATCTGAGGTGGTGTGCTTGCACACGAAAGCTCATACCCTGAATAAAACTTTGTTGGTCTTAAAGGTGCCGCTGGACTCTGACTTTGCTCTAGTCTGTCTCTGTTCACTTGGCCCTTCAAATTAGAATCCACAACGGGGGACAAATAGCATTGTCATCTGAAGAACAGGGGGAGCCTATGCTGTCTTCGTCTACGTCCTGCGGTGTGCGTGCACACCACAGCTTATACCCAGGATAAAACGTGGTTGATGTTAATGGTGTCAGTGGACTTGGACTTTGTTCCATGAGTCAAAAGCTCCTTGTTGTTGTGGACTTGTGAAAAAGCAAAAAAAAAATTGGGTTGAGATTCATGCAGAAATTGAAAACATTGTGAAATGTAAATTTAAGAAAGAACCAGAAATATTACTTTTGGGACTAAAAATGGAAGAGGTTAATGTGGCAAAAAGGACACTGATGTGGTATATGATTACAACTGCCAGAATGACATATGCTCAAAGTTGGAAGCAAGATAAAGTCCCGAAGATTGGCGATCGGATTAAAAAATTACTTTTTATGGTTGAAATGGACAAGATGACAAGAAAACTTAACAATATGGAAGCAGAAGACTTTTTAGCAGATGGGAAAGATTTAAAAGAGTATTTAGAGAAGAATTGGAATGTAAGAGACAACTTATTTTGCTTTAATAATTATTGAGTGTTAAAGTTTAACAATATGGAATAAGAAATAGAGAAATTTATATATGAAGAGATTAGTTACCTATTGAACTTATAATGATAAAGGGAAGGAAGAAGGAATTTAAGAATTTTGCAGGAGGTTGTAGCACAGTGGGAAGCCATGCAGGGGGGAGGGAAGGGAGGAGGGTAGGATAAAAATGTATTATAAATGTTGATTTTGAGTGATGATATCCTAAATAAAAATTGTTTAAAAAAGCAAAAACAAAAAGCTCCTTGTTGTTCAGTCGCACAGTCGAGTCCGACTCTTCGCGACCCCATGGACGAGATCCCGCCAGGCCCTCCTGTCTTCCGCTGTCCTCTGAAGTTTGCTCAGTTTCATGTTCGTTGCATCTATGACACTGTCTAACCATCTCATCCTTTGCCGTCCCCGTCTTCTTTGACCTTCAATCTTCCCCAGCATCAGGGTCCTAGTAAAGGTAAAGGTTCCCTTGCTCGAAAGCCAGTCGAATCCGACTCTAGGGTTGCGGTGCTCATCTCCGTTTCAAAGCCGAAGAGCCAGCGCTGTCCGAAGACGTTTCCGTGGTCATGTGGCCGGCATGACTAAACACCAAGGCGCACGGAACGCTGTTATCTTCCCACCGAAGTGGTACCTATTTATCTACTTGCAATTTCTTGCTTTCGAACTGCTAGGTTGGCAGGAGCTGGAACCAGAGACGGGAGTTCACTCCGTCATGCGGCACCTGGGTCTTGAACCACTGAACTACTGACCTTCCACAGCCTGCAGTTCAGCGTCTTAACCACTTGAGCCACCGCAGCTCCTAGGGTCCTACCCTGCCACAAATTTTTGTTAATCTTTAAGGCGCTCCTGGACTCTTGCTCTTTTCTGCTGCTAAAATATTTGAACCATCAAAAACACGTTTGAAATAATCAAAGAATTCAATAAAAGCCACAGACAAGACCAGAACGAGGAAGGAGAGCCAGTCATCATAGTTAGGGTTGTGCCAGACCAATCTCTTCACCTGCCGGCGGAAGACAACAATAGAGAGCCAGTTTGGTGTAGTGGGTAAGTGCGTGGACTCTAATCTGGGAGAACCAGGTTTGATTCCCCACTCCTCGACGTGCAGCTGCTGGATGACCTTGGGTCGGTTGACAGTTCTCTCAGAGCTGTTCTCTCAGGAGCAGTCCTCGAGAGAGCTCTCTCAGCAGGTTACCTGAAGGTGTTCAAATCTGTATTGTCTTTCTTTTTATTATTGATTTGTAGTCCATTTTAACCTGGACTGTAATAGTGGTTTTAATTTTTATCAGTGTATTCTGAATTTTGTGATGGCCAGTGGCTTCATACAATAAACCTACCTACCTACCTACTACTGATTTCATATGCTTATAACCTGTTTTTAAGATTTTATTGTCTTTATGGAAATGTCATAACCCACCCTGAGCTCGTTTACGGGATAGGTGGGGTGCAAATGCGGAAAATTAATTAATTAAAATATTATTTCTGCTTCCATCGAAGATGATTTGCAAGACGTGTTGCCGTATCATGCTGACCCCCGAAGAACGGAAGCAGTTTTTAGATTACCTGAAGAGACCTGGCTTGACTTACCTCCAGAAACGTGGCTTGAAGAAAAAGGTCTCTGAAAAGTGCAGGAAAAAGAACACCTGCCCTCACTGCGGGTCGTTTAACGGTGAGTGTGTGTTTCGGGAGGCCCTTGTCGGCGTCAAGTCCAGAACCATTTAGAACGGCAGACCAAAGCTTCTCTGTCGCTTGTGTTGTATCTTGCCCACTGCAGTAGGATATACTATTCAATTTGGGTGCCTCATTGCCACAAACGACACAGTGCAGTGCCAGTCTACCCATAGATCAAGATGGGTAGCCTCAGGGCTATTTTTGGGCAGGGACGCACAGGAATGGCGTTCCGGCTGGCTCCCGAGTTGGCCACGCCCAGCAGGAACTCATTAGCATAATAGGCCACACCCAACAGCAGAAACTCATCAGGATTGGCTACATTAGGGGTGTGTGGCCTAACATGCAAAGGAGTTCCTGCTACAAAAAGAAGGCCCTGGGTTTTGACAACAAACAAGGTAAACAAGAAGCAAAAGGTGGGTGTGGCTGGATAACCACACTTCTAGTAACATGGGGGTGCGGCCTAATGTGCTAATGAGCTGTGCTATCAGGGGTGTGGCCTAATATGCTAATGAGTTTCTGCTGTTGGGTGTGGCCTATTATGCTAATGAGTTCCTGCTGGGCTTTTTCTACAAAAAGAGCCCTGGCTACCGTAGCCTCATCTGTAGCAACAGAAAAGAGGAAGAGTCCGGGAGCACCTCGAGGGCTTGCAAAATTTGTGGCAGGGGAGGAGCTTTCGTGAGTCACGGCTCTCTTCTTCAGATCCAGTCTACCAGTTGGGTTGCTAACCTCCAGGTGGGGTCTGATGATCTCCCAGATTTACAGTTGATACCCAGATTGTAGAGATCAGTCCCACTGGAGCAAATGGCCGCTTTGAGGGTGGGTTCTCTGGCTTTATACCTCCCCGAGGGTCCTCCCCTCTGCAAAATCCCACCCTTTGCAGGTTCTGTTGTTGTACATATTAGGTTCTATGTCAAAAATGAGGTCAAATGAGGAGGAAGATCTATGTTTTATTTCAATTAACAGAAAAACAATTGGACCAAATAGTCCATCCTAAATTGACTACTTTCTTCTCAGCATATTCAGGAGATATGAGGGGGCAACAGGGGGAGGACTTCTAGTGTCCTGGCCAGTGTTCCCTCTAAGCTGAGTTAGTGTGAGCTAGCTCACAGTTTTTTAGCCTCCAACTCACACATGTTTGTCTTTGCTCAGGAAGGAGGGCTCCAGAGCAAACTAAGTTATGCAGTAGCCAAATCACTGGCTCACAACTTTAATGTCACTAGCTCACAAGGTAGAATTTTTGCTCATAAGACTCCATAGCTTCAAGGGAAGATTGGTCCTGGCCCCACTGCTGGACCTCCTGATGGCCCCTGGTCTTTTTGGCCACTTTGTGACAGAGTGTTGGACTGGATGGGCCATTGGCCTGATCCAACATTGGCTTCTCTTATGTTATTATGTTCTTATGCTTATTTATGAAATGGAAGATAATGATGAAACTGTCATGAGGATTGCAGTGCATGGGCCAGAATTAATAATTCTGTTATGTAATTAATTATGTAATTAATATTCTTTGCTTGAGAGCTATAAATGATAAGTAAACATTCAAACTGTGTTATAGCAATCACATTTTTAGCTCCACCAGCGACCATAAAGGAAGTCTCACAGAAAGAGGACACTTTTCTTCTGGCTAAAGGAAAATGAGTCCACGGTTGTTTTAGTGCTAGGGCTTCTGTCACTTGGATTCCTGACGTATGGGCAATCACCCTGAATTCTAAACGGTTCCGTGTCTGATGTTAAAAGTCCGGGTGGTCTGTTAGATTTCTGTTTCTTGGGTTGATGTTTTGTAACGGCTTGGGTCGGACAGACAAACTTGGACCGCTCGATTCAGGTCCAGTTGCGCCTCAGATCTGGCTCTTGTTCTGCCAGCATGGCTACTCTGAAACAAATCTGAAGGTGCCATTCTTAGTCTTTATGATGGCGTGAGCTGGTTGCTTGTTCTTGGCTGCTGTTGCATTTTAAAAAAAAAATAAAAAATTTATTGATAAATTCAGAATGTTCATAACATACAATTGCTTTCCAACAGCGTCCATATAACATTTAAAAGAAAAATTATGCATTACAAATTATATCCCCTTATTTAAACCTCAGAAGGGGACATTAACCTTGACTAAAGTCACATTAACTAAAACACTTTTAATTGTAAAATATAACTCTCGAAAGGAACAAGTCCATGCAATTCAAAATAGTGCAATTTAGCCCCATCAGTGATACGTAAGTAAAGAAATATGTTGTTCTTTTTTCTTTAAATTATTAAAGACATCAGAAATCTGCAGATTTTTTTCCATAAAAGGAAGCCATTTATCAAGTAAACTATATTGACGAACCTGAACAGTTGTGTTTTGTAAGTTATCTGTGATTTTATCCATTATAAAATAGTCCCACAGTTTAAGATACCATTGTTGGCGGCTGTTGCATGCGCTATGTCTGTGCATTGGCTGTCTTTTTTACCATTCTGCTTGCCTAATAAAGAACGAAATAAGATTTCAGAATAAAGTAGGTGTTTGTGCTAATTTATCATCCTGTAGGTACAGTAAAGAAATGTGGCTTGCTGAAGATAATCCATGAGAAATACAAGACCACCAAGAAGATAGTGGATCCTGTTGTGTCTGACTTCATACAGTCTTTCGACACTGCCACAGAACATAATAAAGAAATTGAATCCTTGCTGGGAAGAGCCCAGGTGAACAAGACGCCGAAAACAATCTTGCACTGATTCGGTTTTTCTCTTCTTTTAGAAACTGGGATTTCTGTTAGATTGAGATGACCTAGGGGGCTTTATAGGAGCTGCGGTGGCTCAAGTGGTTAAGACGCTGAACTGCAGGCTGTGGAAGGTCAGTAGCTCAGCAGTTCGAGACCCGGGTGCCGCATGATGGAGTGAGCTCCCATCTCTAGTTCCAGCTCCTGCCAATCTAGCAGTTCGAAAGCAAGAAATTGCAAGTAGATAAATAGGTACCACTTTGGTGGGAAGGTAAACAGCGTTCCGTGCGCCTCGGTGTTTAGTCATGCCGGCCACATGACCACGGAAACGTCTTCGGACAGCGCTGGCTCTTCGGCTTTGAAACGGAGATGAGCACCGCAACCCTAGAGTCGGATTCGACTGGCTTTCGAGCAAGGGAACCTTTACCTTTACCTAGGGGGCTTTACGCCGACCTACTGTGTGACTAATCTTGGTCTTGTAGCTGAAAGAGTTGTGAGTGCTTAATTGGGATTGGGTCAAGTCTAGCACATTAAGGACACTGTTTAAGAAAACGTGCAAGGATGTCTGTTCCGAAACGAAGTCTCTGAAAGTGGGTCGCAGGCCGGCCCTCCCTAGTGGCTGCCCCTGCCCTTTCCCGTCACTCCCTTTTGTATTTTGGAAACCAAGGTCGGACCCAGGAAACAGTATCTTCCGTGTCATACATTGGTTGGCATTTTTTCTTTACTGCGTTATATGTGTCTATCAAGTAAAATGTGTCCTGATAGTTAGTAGAGCGAGTGTCTTAGAATCTGAGGGGGGATTGGAGGGAGGAATGGAGAAGGAGAGGGGTGGTCTCACCTCCGTAGGCGAAGGCCGTGTCTGTCGGGTTGCCACTCGCTTGGGACTCATCGTGGGGGCGCCTCCACCCTTTGTGTGAGGGTTGTTGGGTTCCCCAAAACGTCTGTTTGGCCACCGTAGAAAACGGAATGCTGAACGAGATAGGGTGCCCCCCCAAATCCTTGGATGGGTCACCGGACCCTTGGATGGGTCACCATACCGAGTGAATTTGGACTTTTGGGTTGGGAGCAGCTGCTCAGAAGCGATCCAGTCGATTGGGAAGCTGTTTCTGAGACTCCTTTGGCAGCTGCCTGCACGTCCCTCAAGCAGTTTGCCTAGAGTAGGAGCGCGGACTCTAATCTGGGAGAACCGGGTCTGATTCCCCACTCCTCCTCCACGTGCAGCTGCTGGTGTGACCGGGGTCACTCACAAGTTCTTTCGGAGCTGTTCTCTCAGGAGCAGTTCTCGAAAGAGCTCTCTCGGCCCCACCTACCTCACAGGGTGTCTGTGGTGGGGAGGGGAAGGGAAAGGAGTTTGTCAGCCGCTCTGAGACTCCTTCAGGTAGTGAAGGGAGGGGTATAAATCCAATCTCCTCCTCCTCCTCCTGCTTTTGAGAACCATTGTGTCAGTGTCAGGGCATGTTGAGCAATTAAATGTATTTTCATGGTAATAGGAGTATGAACAGGGATTTGAGCTGACTGGCATGGTGACGCTGGGGAAGGGGTAAGCAGTGCAGGCACTGGGTGAAAGTATCCAGTAAGTTTTCTTGGTCGCAGAGATGTGGGGGGTGGGGAAGGCGGTTTCACACAGGCCGAATAATGCACTTCCAATCCACTCTCAGTGCACTTTCGTGATCGTTTGCAAGTGGATTTTGCCATTTAGCTGCTTATAACTGAATTATTCTAATCATTTTAAATGTATTTTAATTGGTCAATTTTTAAAAAATATTTGCTACCTTGTGGGCCCTGATTGAGCGGAAAGACGGCATAAAAATGTTTTAAATAAATAAAAATCCCACACTGAAATCCAGTGGCAAAAGTGCATTGAGATTGGATCATAAGTGCATTACTCGGGGTGTGTGGAAGTGCCCGTAGGAAATGTTTCTCAAGTTTTAAAGAAGGCGGAATTGCACGCAGTCTATGAGAAGCCGGCTTTGTGCATTCCCGTCAGTTCATTCTGCAGTACCTGGGCGTATCCGGATCTCCTTACACCGTGATTTTAAAAACGTTTGTTTCCAAAAACATTTTTTCCTGCTGTGTTGGAATAAAATTTTGCTTCAGGGAGAGCAGAAGGAAGAGCAGCCTGAAACAGGCGTTGAGTAGGGGTACGAGAGATGGGTGGGGAAATACCTTTAGATTTGAGGGGGGGTCAAGCTTGGGGAGGGCGGGGCTTGAGGAAGGGAGGGGATATAATGCCACAGAGTCCACCCTCCAAAACAGCCATTTTCTACAGAGGAACTGTCAAACCCTGCTTCCTTTTGGTTGCCATAGTTATCGGGAGGAGGGAATTCCTGCGGGGAGGGGGGGTTGAGTCCATGAGTGAGAGAATGGGACTTTTGCTTCTAGACGTCATCACTTCCATCCAAGTCGTGCCTCCTTTCCCTCCTTTCCCAGGGGAAGGTGCCCTTGAGCGTTCTTCTGTACCAGCTTGAGCTGCAGATAACCAAGACGTATATCTTTCACTTGGTTGGGACGGCAGTGTTAGGTGTGGTGTGAGTGTGACGTATGCATGGGGGAAGGAAGGTGCTTTTATTCAAATTACCTACATTAAGCTTGTATCCGCCAAAAGTCTTCAGTTCTGACACATTGACTTTCTTGATTCTGGCATGCATCTCAATAAACTTATCACTGCCAAGAGGGAGTCGTTGAGTGTAACTGGACTGGGAGGTCTGACAGGAACGGATCTCTGTTGTCTGGATATCAATTATATTAGCAGGAGATCTCCAGACCCCACACCTGGAGGTTAGCAGCTGTCTCCCGAGATGAGCTTTCTTGGCCTCCTGTGAACAAACAAACCACTGTGATCTTTTGATTCTGTAGGAGAACTTGAATCCGTTGGTGGTGCTGAACCTCTTCAAGCGGATACCGGCCGAAGACATCCCGCTGCTCCTGATGAATCCAGAATCCGGGAAGCCTTCCGACCTGATCCTGACCCGGCTGCTGGTCCCCCCGCTGTGCATTAGGCCCTCTGTGGTGAGCGACTTGAAATCTGGCACCAATGAGGACGACTTGACCATGAAGCTGACGGAAATCATTTTCCTCAACGACGTGATCAAGAAGGTGAGCCACCCTGATGGTTAATTCCTCTCTAACAATTCCGTGTGATTTGTGTTCATAAGATTTTGTAAAGAAATGGCAGCAGGTGTTATAATATGAAGTGGACTGCAGACTTTGGGCCTCCTTTATACCTACCGGTCAGTCGTTCTCTGTACATCTAGGTTTAATGGAAAATGGTATCAGTGTGTTACATCATTGGCATCTTTCATCTGCTAGAGTAACAAGCCTATACGGTGGTCTCCAAACAGTGGCTGGACGAATACTTATCAAGGGATGCTTTAGGCTGATCCTGCATGGAGCAGGGGGGTTGGACTAGATGGCCTTTATGGCCCCCTCCAACTCTGTGGTTCTATATACAGGCCTCAGTTATCATCGCTGGCACTGTAATGAACCCCATGTGGTGGAAGTGTAAAAGGGTGGTGAAACTTCGGGAAATGGCAGTGATACTACTCTCAAAAGGAATTATTACAGAATTTTGAAATTATACAAGCACTGTTTTTATCAAATTATGTAAGAGCTATCCCTAAAAAAATATAGGGTAGTGGTTATGTATGTTGTTACCGCTGCTAGATTGACACTGGCTAAAGTGTGGAAATGGAAATGGAGCTGCGGTGGCTCAAGTGGTTAAGACGCTGAACTGCAGGCTGTGGAAGGTCGGTCGTTCAGCAGTTCGAGACCCGAGTGTGCCGCATGACGGGGTGAGCTCCCGTCTCTAGTTCCAGCTCCTGCCAACCTAGCAGTTCGAAAGTAAGACATTGCAAGTAGATAAATAGGTACCACTTAGGTGGGAAGGTAACAGCGTTCCGTGCACCTTGGTGTTTAGTCATGCCGGCCACATGACCACAGAAACGTCTTCGGACAGCGCTGGCTCTTTGGCTTTGAAACAGAGATGAGCACCGCAACCCTAGAGTCGGATTCGACTGGCTTTCGAGCAAGGGAACCTTTACCTTTTTAAAGTGTGGAAGCTGAAGGAAATTACAACAAGGAGAACTTCTGTAGACGAGGATATACTCATTCAACTGACAGCATTTCTAAAGGAAGAAGATGCACCGATTGCTGACCAAATGTGGCAAGAAGGTTTTGTTTCACATGGAATGCACAATGTAATATGTAATGAGTTTATGTTTGTAAATGATGTTTTTTTCTTTAGCTGTTATGGATTTATGTCACTGAATGGGTAGTTGGGAAATTTAAAAACAAATGTTTTTAGAAAGGTGAACTGCCCTTTTTGGTTTGTTTGTATGGCCATAATCAGGCTGGATTACCTTCTCCTTAATTACTCTATTATAACGTCTTAAGAACATTGCTGACTTTTGAAACATGCTTAAAATGGTAGCAGAGAGCTTAGGATTTGCTCTGTTGGTAAAAGTAGTGTCTGGGAATTCCCGTTTGATTTTCTGCATTTGGACTCAGATGCAAATCTGCATTAGTTGACTCATCCGTCAAACTTGCTGATTATTTTTGCCAGCATAGAATTTCGGGAGCCAAAACCCAGATGATCATGGAGGACTGGGACTTCCTGCAGCTCCAGTGCGCCCTCTACATCAACAGCGAGCTCTCTGGCATCCCTCTCAACATGGCACCCAAGAAGTGGACAAGAGGCTTCGTCCAGAGACTGAAGGGGAAGCAGGGTGGGTCTTTCAGCATAAATCTCTGCCTTCTCTGGTGGTCACACGGGAACATACGCAATTGCTTTTAAAAGACGGCGACTCTGGCGCCCTCATAGCGCCTCTTGGCGGAATCTTTCCCGGCCCTGCAGTCCAAGCTCCTTTAAACTGAAAACACCAGGGACTGAAGGAGAGACCTCCGGCGTGCAGGCGTGTGCTGTTCCTCGGAAGAATGGCCTCTGCCCCAAGCATAGCCCTAAGACATTTGCACCTGCGGTAGCAGCTTCACAGTTGGGAGCAGACTGGGTTTTTTTGTTTGTTTGCTCGAATAGGTTTGTTTGGGGGCTGTCATTTATCGGTTGGCTGCTTGGATCGCTGTCCTGCATCTGAACTGAAACTCCTGAAGCAGCGCGGAGTAGGCAGCCGGGAAAGCAAGCCTCACTGCAGGCCCACTGCAAGCTCACACTAACTCAGCTTAGAGGGAACTCAGTTTATGAATGGGACACTTGTGCTAAACCAGCCCCCCCCCCAGCTTTTATTGATTGGCTGATTGATTCAGTTTATACCCCGCCCTCCCCGCGAAGGCGGGCTCAGGGCGGCTTACGCAGCATTTCATCAAAATGCAGTTAAAACCTATATAAACATATAATATAAATAACAGTCAATTAAAACACAGTTAAAACACTGGAACATTATCAGATAAAACAAGAGCAAGCATTATTTCTAATATGGCTTAGGTGACCGTATGATCCCGATAACTTTCATACCAGCTCAGTTTGCTCACTTATGCGGCGGGCACAGGCTAGGGACGACGATGGTAGGCCGGGGGAAAAGGCTGGAGGTGAAGGTAAAGATGTTATATTGGAGTATATTGATGGTATATTGGAGTATATTGATTTATCCGGCAACTCTGAGGCGGGCGGGCCAGGGGGGTCCCTAGAAGGATCAGGGAGGCATTTAAATGCCTCCCCATGCCTTCCCCAGCCTGTCCAAGGGCCGGCTTGCCCAGGCTCCCTGCAGCTGTGGGGTGCCCGGGCAAGCCAAGGGAAGGCAGTTTAAACCGCTTCCCCTCCCCTCCAAGGGTTGGCTTGCCCAGGCAAGCCAAGGGAAGGCATGGGGTGTGGCCTGATACACCAATGAGCTGTGCTGTCAGGGTGTGACTTAATAGGCTAATGAGTTTCTGCTGTTGGGTGTGGCCTATTATGCTAATGAGTTCCTGCTGGGCTTTTTCTACAAAAAAAGCCTTGTTTATCACTATTCACTATTTAGTGAATAGATTCACTATTTACTATTCAGATTCAGGGCAACAGTGGGAGGGCTTCTAGTGTCCCGGCCCCACTGCTGGACCTCCTGATGGCACCTGGTATTTTTGGCCGCTGTGTGTCTTATATTCTGTCCTCCCCGCAAGCGGGCTCAGGGCGGATCACAACACAATATCCGAACATATCAAAAATGTCAAAACATGTAAAATATAGATATAAACAATTACGGCCATTTAAAACAACATAGATTAAAACAGAGCACGCATTATTTATCCTCCTACAGAGGTTTCCGGCTGGCGCCACTGGTCTCGAACGTCTTAACCTGGGCCACATGAGACCGTGGCTTCGGCTTCAGCAGTTTGGAATTCTGACATGCCGTGCTGGGCGCAGCCATAAAGCGGCTGCGACAGGAAGCGGGGTCAGCTACAAAATGATTGCCACAGCTTCACTTCACGGTCACACAGCGAAGATCTTCACGCTGTGGTGGCAGCTGCTTCCCGAAGCAATGTTTTTAAAAATCTGCCACAGCTCAACTTCAGTCACAACTTCAGAGAAGATCCTTGAGTTGTGGCGGCAGCTGCTGCCAAAGCAACATTTTTTTAAAAAACTGCCACAGCCAGTCAGAAGTCTTGCTGGGCAAAAGTCCTACCTGTCCCCGACCACTTTCCGGAAACGCTTGGTGGGCACCAGGGTGTTGGACTAGATGACCCTGGAGGTCCCCTTCCAACTCTGTGATTCTAAGTGCCATGGCACTCGCGGGCACCACATTGGAGACCCCTGTGCGAAACCATTCATGGGAGCTTGCTAGCTTCTTGCCATTGAGCGAACACGGCCAGTGGCCAAGCGTCCGCCCGCTTGCTCATCCAGGCACTGACAGTCTTTCCCTCAGTCTTCTCCTGTGAGGGTGCTCAACATGGCAAAAAGCACCTGATGGGGGAAGGGGGTTGCAGCCTAGGACCAGCATCGGGGTAGTACATAAACACCTGGTTTCTTTAGATGAAACTAAGTCCTCGGGGCCAGATGAACTGCATCCAAGGGTACTAAAAGAACTCGTGGATGTAATTTCTGCGCCTCGGTCCATTATTTTTGAGAATTCCTGGAGAACAGGTGAGGTGCCAGAAGATTGGTGGCAGGCAAAATGTTGTCCTCATCTTCAAGAAGGGGGGAAAGGAGGAGCCGGGTAACTACCGACCTGCCAGCTTGACATCTGTAAACCTCCAAAGGAAGTTTAGAAAACTTATTGAAGGCCAAAAGTTAAAAACATAAGTAAGTATACAAAAGAGTGTTTATTTCAAAGACATATAAAAACCTTGTAGGGGCCCAAATAAAGCCTCATAAAATGTTCAAAGTTGCAAATACACAAAAAAGGACAGTGTATATGACCTGACGCGTTTCGGCTCATGAGCCTTCTTCAGAGGTCAAACAGTACAAAACACACCAAGCAAGAGGGTCCCTGTAACACATGTAAGGCAATTAACAATAAATAAAATGGGACCAAAATTGAAGTGTTCCAATATGGAATTGAATGACACACCAAAAGGTTTCTATTTGGGGCCACAAATATATCTGGAAATAATATGTACCTTCCAGTTTAGGTCCGAAGAGTGCAAATAGAAGTGCCTTGTCAGGGACAATGTGCCATCAATATGTAACAGTTTGACATCTATACCTGGAAAAGTTTTAGAACAAATCATCAAACACTGTGTGGAGAAGGCAGCTTATGTCATTTTATCCTCACAACAGCTCTGTGACGTAGGTTAGTCTGGGAATGTGTAACTGGCCCAAGGTCATCCAGTGAGCGTCCATGGCAGAGTGGTGATTTGAACCTGGGTCTTCCAGATCCTAGTGTGAAATGCTAATCGCTGCACTGAACTGGCTCTCGTGGGGTGGCTGCTGTTGAACAGGAGCAAGCCGGGGGGCCTGGGTAAGTCATGCAAGTTTCACGGTAGCAAGCGGTCACTGCCAGGCCTTGTGCAAACTGCATTCCCTCAAAGGCCGGAAGAGCCTTGGAAAGGGCCCTGCCCCCTCTCCTTGCCTTTTACTGACAGAAATCAAGGCTTAAAGCCTAACAATACTGTATGGTTGCCTAGCAACAGCCACTGAGAACATTCATTTCTTAAAGCTACAGGTGCTGCTTCTGTTATTAATGGTTAACCCCCCCTTTTATTATTATTTTTTAAAAAGATTTTAAACCCAGGGCAATTTTTGGGTTCATAGAAAGATCTGTCTTTCCTGTTCACAGTGCCACTCTCTAGATTTAAATATCCACAGATCTGGCCACATCTCCTCACCTTTCCCTGCTTCCCTCTCCTTCCTACCCACCAACCTTTGCTGGTCTCCTAGTCTTCAGTGTGACTGTTTATTTAGTTAATTTATATCCTGCCCTTTTCCACAATGGGGACTCGGAGCAACTTAGATTGCTCCCCCATTCTCTGTTGTATCCTCACAACAATCCTGTGAGGTAAGCGACAATGAGAGTGAGTGCAGTGGCTGTTGTCGAGTTATGCTGATTCACTTGTTAGTTTTCTGCCAGGAGTCCTTCCTACAGGGCAGCCTGATGGGGGTGCGGAAGCGGCCTGTGAGGTCAAAACATCCTTGGAAAGGGCCGTGCTCCATCTCCTTGCCCTTTACTGATAGACACTAGAAGCCTGGCAACGTTGTTGTGGTTGCCTAGCGACCCCCACAATGGCTCCTCAGAGAATCTCCGTTTTTTAAAGCTACAGGTGCTGCTTCTAGGGCTTTTCTCGGGCCTGCAGGAAGACCTGACTTGTCCGTTCATGGTCCCAGTCCCCAAATTTAAGTATCCACAGATGGGGCCATGTTGAATATAGGATAGACTGATACATAGCTATGCACATGGAGAATTGTCTCACTGCTTGAACCTTGGATATGTGCAGGGCTTTTTTTGTAGAAAAAACCCAGCAGGAACTCATTAGCATAATAGGCCACACCTAATAGCAGACACGCATTAGCCTATTAGCCCACACCCTTGACAGCACAGCACATTAGCATATTAGGCCACACCCCCATGTTACCAGAAGTGTGGTCATCCAGCCACACACCCCTTTTGCTTCTTATTCTGTTTACCTTGTTGTCAAAACCCAGAGCTTTTTTTGTAGCAGGAACACCTTTGCATGTTAGGCCACACATGCCCAAAAATAGCCCTGGATATGTGGAGTGAAGGGAGTGCGTTCTTCTCTGCCTTCTTCAGCAGGCTGGGCGAGAGATGAGCTTATCAGACACCCAGGGGAGGGCCTGCTGGCCATGGACGACAAAAGGGTGTAATGGCTGCCGTGGTAGTGGTGGTTTCTGCTCTTTCTTCTCTGTGGCCGGCTTGCTCTCCTCCTGACAGCTGTGTGGATGCTGGGATGAGAGTGCAGAGGCTGAGTCTCAAAGTGGCTTAGAATCTCCTTTCCCTTCCCCTCCCCACAACAGACACCCTGTGAGGTCGGTGGGGCTGAGAGAGCTCTCTCGAAAACTGCTCTTGAGAGAACAGCTCTAAGAGAACTGTGACTGGCCGAAGGCCACCCAGCAGTTGCGCGTGGAGGAGTGGGGAATCAAACCTGGTTCTCCCAGATTATCGTCTGCCACTCTTAACCACTACACCAAACTGGCTCTACACTACACCAAAGTTGACTGAAGAGGACGGCCCATTTGCTTCCGTCTGTGGCACAAGGACCGCAGTTCAGGGAGCTTCGCAGCTCACCTGTTGTTATTAGAACAGATAAAAGGAAGTCCTTCACCCAAAGAGTGATTAACACATGGAATTCACTGCCACAGGAGGCGGTGGCGGCTACAAGCATTGACGGCTTCAAGAGGGAATTAGATAAGCACATGGAGCAGAGGTCCATTGGTGGCAAGTGATGCTCTGTATTTTTGGTGTTGGGGGGGTCAATAGTGTGAGGGCATCTGGTGTCCTGGCCCCACTGCTGGACCTCCTGATATCACCTAGTATTTGTGTCCACTGTGTGACCCAGAGTGTTGGACTGGATGGGCCGTTGGCCTGATCCCATATTGGCTTCTCTTACATTCTTATGTTGTCATGTCCCTGCACTGGGGGCTGGTTTCAAGGTGCAAGCCCTGCTGGGCGGTGGCCTTGCCCTCTTGGAACGTGGGGCAGGCGCCACATTGGGGAACGGTGCCAAAGGCTCCTGAGCCAGTCAGTCCATATTACTGGCCTATGGCAAATTTTGTATTCTAAGCTTCAAGGCCACGCATGGCTTGTCATTTGGAATAGCCTTATGCTCGCTGATTATGCTTCTTCTGGTAGTGGTTGTTATCATTACTGTTATTATTATGTATTTTATGTATTATGTTATTGAGGAAAACTTTGATCTATTCTTTGGAATGTCAGCCAGTTTTCATTTGGCTATCTTCTATTAACTTTTTGTGTGTGTGTGTGTTCTAAAGGTCGGTTCAGAGGAAACTTGTCCGGAAAGCGAGTGGATTTCTCCGGCAGAACGGTGATTTCACCCGACCCAAACCTGCGAATTGACGAAGTGGCCGTACCTGTTCACGTTGCCAAAATATTAACATTTCCTGAGAAGGTTGGTCATTTACTTACGTATTTATTTCAAACATTTATTAGCCGCCTTCCTTCTGGAACTCAGAGTGGCTTACGATGTCGATAAAACACAGAAAATAGTTTACATGAAAATATTTGACATCACGAAATGTAAAACCACGGTTTCATCACATGCAGTCCTAAGTAAAACCACATTCAGCTGCCTCCTGAGGACTGAGAGTGAAGGGGGGGCCAGGTGCATCTCTCTGGGGAGGTTGTTCCATGATTGGGGGGCTACCACTGAAAAGGCCCCGTCTCGTGTACCCACCAGTCGAGCTGCTTTGATGGGACAGCCGGGAGGGCCTCCCCTGGTGATCTCAATTCCCAGGCGGGGAACGTAGGGGAGAAGGCGGTCCTTCAGAGACCCCAGTACGAAGCCATGTAGGACTTTCAAGATCAAAGTGGAGAAATTAAAACCTGTCCCTTCCCGTGTGGCACAATCTCATCAACATACTGAGCCTTTTTGGGTGATGCACTCTCTCTGGGAACCTTTCTGCATGTGGTGATGTCAGAGATGCAGGTCTTGCTCTGACTTGGCATGTCAGGGACATCTCATAGCTGACTGGATCGTGGGAACCCTGTTGATGTGATTTACCTGGATTTCAGGAAAGCTTTTGATATGGCTCCCGATGACATTCTGATGGGCAAACTGGAAGACTGTGGTGGGCTGGACTACAGGACAGTTCGGTGGATAGGGAGCTGGTTAGAGGACCGCACCCAAAGAGTGGTGGTCAGTGGTGTTTCATCGGACTGGAGGGAGGTGTCCAGGATTGTGGCCTGGTACTTTTCAATATTTTTATCAATGATCTGGATGAAGGGGTAAGAAGGGCTGCTCATTACATTTGCTGATGATACCAAATTGTGAGGAGTAGCAAACACCCAGGAAGACAGTTAAAATTCAACAAGACCTGAATACCTTGGAGAAGTGGGCAGTTGCAAACAGGATGTGATTCAACAAAGATAAAAGCACAGTATTACATCTGGATGGGGGATACGTTTCTGCACAAATACTGGATGGGGGATACGTTTCTGGGGAGTAGTGTATGCGAAAGAGATCTTGGGGTAAGGGTGGACTGTAAACCAAATATGAGCAGTCAGTGTGATGCGGTGGCAAAAAAGGCAAACTCAGTTTTGGGATGTATTAAAAGGGCCACAGCATCGAAATCGCAGAAGGTCCTAGCCCCTCTGTATACTGCTTTGGTCAGGCCGCACCTGGAGTCCTGTCTGCAGTTCTGGAGGCCTCACTTCAAAAGGATGTGGGCAAAATCGAGAGGGTACAGAAGAGAGCGACGAAGATGATCAGGGGTCTGGAGACTGAGCCCCACAAGGAAAGGCTAAGGGCCTTGGGAATGTTTAGTTTGGAGAAGAGGAGATTGAGGGGGGACATGACTGCTCTCTTTAAATATTTGAAAGGCTGTCATTTGGAGGAGGGCAAGGAGCTGTCCCAGTTGGTAGCAGAGGAGAGGACCCGAAGCAACGGGTTTAAATTACATGCAGAAAGGTATCGGCTGGATATTAGGAAAAACGTTTTCACGGTCAGAGTGGTTCAAAGGTGAAATCAGCTGCATAGAGACGTGGTGAGCTCCCCTTCAATGACAGCTTTCAAGAAGAGCATGGACGAATATTTGTCAGGGATGCTTTAGACTGGTCCTGTATTGGGCAGGGGGTTGGACTAGATGGTCTGTATGACCCCTTCCAACTGTGATTCTATGACTCTACAACAGCCGGCTTAGAGTTCTAGCTAGCTCCTGGTTTAAGCTTTATGTTCTCTGTGTGATAGTGAACAAATATCAAAGATTCCCTCAATAGTCATTCCTGGGGATGGTAACATCCTTTGAAGACACAGTTGTTGAATTCCACATTGCATAATAGACAGCTTGAAACAAGGGAAATACATTATTGCTGCTGTATGTTTTGTTATGCTATTTTTGAAATCTTTATTAACAGAGTTTTTCATTTTGTTATATATGTTACATGTATTCAGTAGAATTCTCCTATTTGTAAAAATGACCTGTCAATAAGAGTTTGCCCGAACTGTGATCAGTTCCTTAGATTTCTCCAGAAATTAGTGTATTACATTCGCCCTAGCTTATACTCATTTCCATCCCCAGTCCTTTTCCTGCTGCAAGCTGAGAATTAACTTAGCAGCCAGCAGGCTGGGTGAATTCCTTTTTGTCTGTGAACATGATTTTTGATCGTCATTGGCTACCTGGGGGATCAAAAGTGTTGCAAAGAGCAAGAGTTAACAAGTGACCCTTTAAAATGAAAAGATTATTCCAATCAACTCTTTATCATTTACCATGCTATCGCTGTGCCGTTCAGCGTAAGATAAGGCACACAATTTTCGTGCATCTAAGGATCAAAACTCCTGCCAACCTAGCGGTTTGAAAGCAAGAAATTGCAAGTAGATAAATAGGTACCACTTCGGTGGGAAGGCAACAGCGTTCCGTGCGCCTCGGCGTCTAGTCATGCCGGCCACATGACCACGGAAATGTCTTCGGACAGCGCTGGCTCTTTGGCTTGGAAACAGAGATGAGCACCACCCCCAGAGTCAGATTCAACTAGCTTTCAAGCAAGGGAAACCTTTACCTTTACTAAGGATCAAAAGCCTTAAGGCAGTCCGGCACAAGAAGCGAGTTATGGTACTGGCAGTGCTGTTCGTTTCTTCCCCCTTCTAACTGGAGTATTCCTATTTTAGGTGAACAAAGCGAACATTGGACTGATGAGGAAACTGGTTCGAAATGGTCCAGAGCTCCATCCTGGAGCCAACTTCATTCAACAGAGGCACACCCAGATGAAAAGGTACAGTCTGGCATTTGTGATGGCCTCCTTCTAGCAGTCGGGTTAGAACAGACAAAAGGAAGTACTTCTTCACCCAAAGAGTGATTAAAACGTGGAATTCACTGCCACAGGAGGAGGTGGTGGCGGCTACAAGCATGGACGGCTTCAAGAGGGAATTAGATAAGCATATGGAGCAGAGGTCCATCAGTGGCTATTAGCCACAAGGTATAGATAGGAACTCTCAGTCTTGGACAAGTGATGCATTATATTCTTGGTGCTTGGGGTGGGGGGCCCACTGCTGGACCTCCTGATGGCCCCTGGTATTTTTGGCCACTGTGTGTTGGACTGGATGGGCCATTGGACTGATCCAACAGTGGCTTCTCTTATGTTCTTATGGTTTTTGGAGATCATAGAATCATAGAATGTTAGAGTTGGAAGGGACCTTGCAGGTCATCTAGTTTAACCCCCTGCACTCTGCAGGAGCATGGCCGAAAGAGAGCCCTACAACATACCCAAAAGATGGCCGTCCAGCCTCCGCTTGAAAACGTCCAGCGAAGGAGCCTCCACCACCTCCCGAGGCAGACTGTTCCACTGCTCAACCACTCTTACAGTTAGGAAGTTTCTCCTGATATTTAGCTGGTAACGACTCCCTTGTAATCTCCACCCATTAGATCTAGTCTTGCAATCCGGAGCAAGAGAGAATAGATCCGCTCCATCTTCTACACGGCAGCCCTTCAAATACTTGAAGACTGCAATCATGTCCCCTCTAAGCCTTCTCTTTCCCAGGTTAAACAGACGCAACTCTTTCAGCCTTTCCTCATAAGGCTTTCCTTTCCTGTCCTTTCGGTTCTCATTCTGAAATATTTAAAAGCTGTTGGGGAATCCCTCTCCTTCCAAATGTCATTGCTGTGCTGTCGGCACAAGCTTTGTGTCCCTGGGTGGAGACATACGGAGCTTGGAACTGAGTTCTCTCCCAGTATGTTTGCCCTGGAGATGTGCACAGCTTCAGACAGTCCACCCCAACTGGCATAACGTGCGGTTAGTGCAAAGAAGCCTCTCCAAAATCTGTATTCCCAGCTGCGTGGCTGTTTGGGGGGGGTGAGACAAAAGCCATTCTCCTGCCATTCTCTCAGAAACAGCTCATTAACATAATTAAAGGTAAAGGTAAAGGTTCCCCTTGCTCAAAAGCCCGTCGAGTCCGACTCTAGGGTTGTGGTGCTCATCTCCGTTTCAAAGCCGAAGAGCCAGCGCTGTCCGAAGACGTTTCCGTGGTTATGTGGCCGGCATGACTAAACGCCAAGGCGCACGGAACGCTAAAGTGGTCCCTATTTATCTACTTGCAATGTCTTGCTTTCGAACTGCTGGGTTGGCAGGAGCTGGAACGAGAGACGGGAGCTCACTCCGTCCTGCGGCACACCCGGGTCTCGAACTGCTGAACTACCCACCTTCCACAGCCTGCAGTTCAGCGTCTTAACCCCTTGAGCCACCGCAGCTCCATATTAACATAATTAATGCTTTCTAAAAGGGGGCGCCGTATGAATTGGGGCGATGCACCACGGAAGCGGCGCCTCTTTGTGGGAGAAGCCTGCAGGGTGAAGCCTGCCTCTGAGTACGGGGGGTGGTGGTGGAGGGCAAGGCTTAGGGGAAGAGCTCCCGCTTGGCATGCAGGTTCAGTCCCCGGCGTCTCCAGTTAAAAGGGTCGGGTCATCATAGGAGATGGAAGCCTGAGACCCTGTGGAGCTGCTGGCAGTCTGGGAAGGAAATACTGACCTTGATGGAGCAAAGATCTGATTCAGGATCAGGCCGCTTCATGTGTCCCTGCGGGCCTTTAGCCGGACTGGGGCATCGAAAAGTATTCCCTGTAGAAAGTGGCACCCAAAAGCTTTCCCCTAAGATGTCACACAGTCGTCTAGTTTCAAGGTCTGCAGCTCCAGAGAGGCCAACGAGATTTTCGGGGCGTAGAATCATAATTAACATAATTAATGCTTTCTAAAAGGGGGCGCCGTATGAATTGGGGCGATGCACCACGGAAGCGGCGCCTCTTTGTGGGAGAAGCCTGCAGGGTGAAGCCTGCCTCTGAGTACGGGGGGTGGTGGTGGAGGGCAAGGCTTAGGGGAAGAGCTCCCGCTTGGCATGCAGGTTCAGTCCCCGGCGTCTCCAGTTAAAAGGGTCGGGTCATCATAGGAGATGGAAGCCTGAGACCCTGTGGAGCTGCTGGCAGTCTGGGAAGGAAGTACTGACCTTGATGGAGCAAAGATCTGATTCAGGATCAGGCCGCTTCATGTGTCCCTGCGGGCCTTTCGCCGGACTGGAGCATCGGAAAGTATTTCCTGTAGAAAATGGTTCCCAAAAGCTTTCCTCTAAGATGTCATACAGTCGCCTAGTTTCAAGGTCTGCAGCTCCAGAGAGGCCAACGAGATTTTCGGGGCGTAGAATCATAGCGTTGGAAAGGGACCTCCAGTGTCATCTAGTCCAGCCCCCTGCACAGTGGGAACTTTGGCTCGCGAACGCTCAAACCCCCCAAGCAATGTTCCCTCTAAGGTGTGGAGTCTTATGCGCAAAAATTCTACTTTGTGAGCTACTGGCATTAAAGTTGTGAGCGAGCAATTTGGCTACCCAAGCACCTAGATGACAGAGCATCACTTGCCCCAGAGCCCCTATCTATACCTTGTGGCTCATAGCCGCTGATGGACCTCTGCTCCATATGCTTATCAAATTCCCTTTTGAAGCCGTCCATGCTTGTAGCCGCCACCACTTCCTGTGGCACCACTTCCTGTGGCAGTCATCTAGTCCAGCCCCCTGCACAGTGGGAACTTTGGCTCACGAAAGCTCAAGCCCCCAAGTATCTTGTTCGTCTCAAAGGCCCGACTGGACTCAAATCTGGTTTTTCTACCGTAGACCACCAAGACTGCTTTCTGAAACCACATCCAGTCAGAGAATCTCTGACGATGCTCGGGTGGCACCCAGAATCGCCTCTGCCATTCCAAATACGCAAGGTGCTCACGAAAAGTGAGAAAGCCACCCCTGAGCAGTGTTCCCTCTAAGCTGAATGAGTGTGAGCCAGCTCACAGTTTTTTAGCCTCCGGCCAGTGTTCCCTCTAAGCTGAGTTGGTGTGAGCTAGCTCACCGTTTTTTAGCCTCTGGCTCACAGATTTTTGCCTTAGCTCAGGAAGTAGGGCCCCAGAGCAAACTAAGTCATGCAGCAGCCCAATGGCTTGCTCAGAACTTTAAGGCCAGTAGCTCACAAAGTAGAATTTTTGCTCCCAGGACTCCACAGCTTAGAGGGAACATTGCCTCCGGCTCACACATTTTTTGTCTTCGCTCAGGAAGGAGGGCTCCAGAGCAGACTTAATTTATGGAGTAGCCCAATCGCTCGCTCCCAGCTTTAATGCCAGCAGCTCACAAAGTAGAGTTTTTGCTCTCAAGGCTCCACAGCTCAGAGGGAGCGTTGCCCCTGAGATCCGCACCCCGCTATCTGTTGTCTCCTCGCTGCAGGTTTCTGAAGTATGGAAACCGAGAAAAGATGGCCCAAGAGCTGAAGTACGGCGACATCGTCGAGCGGCATCTCATAGACGGGGACATCGTCCTGTTCAACCGACAGCCCTCTTTGCACAAGCTGAGCATCATGGCCCATATTGTGAGTATAGCCGCCTTGGACTGCAGCCCTCCGAGGCAAGGTAGGGCTTGTCCTCTGTGCAGGTCTTGGAGGAGAGACTGAGAAAGCGGAAACTAACGACTGGGGGAGCGCCGATAAGCTTCAAACGGGACTTTGTTTCTTTTGTCCAATGTGGCAGTCCCATGTCTCCTCCAAGGCTCATCTCATCTCAAAAGTCCCACGTTTCCTCCATGGCCCATATTGTGAGTATAGCCGCCTTTGACTGCAGCCCTCCGAGGGCAAGGTAGGGCTTTTCCTCTGTGCAGGTCTTGGAGGAGAGCCTGAGAAAGCGGAAAATAATGACTGGGGGAGCGCTGATAAGCTTCAAACGGGACTTTGTTTCTTTTGTCCAGTGTGGCAGTCCCATGTTTCGAAGGCTCATCTCATCTCAAAAGTCCCATGTTTCCTCCAAGGTAAAGGTAAAGGTTCCCTTGCTCAAAAGCCAGTCGAGTCCAACTCTAGGGTTGCGGTGCTCATCTCCATTTCAAAGCCGAAGAGCCAGCGCTGTCCGAAGACGTTTCCGTGGTCATGTGGCCGGCATGACTAAGCACCACGGCGCACGGAACGCTGTTACCTTCCCACCGGAGCGGTCCCTATTTCTCTACTTGCAGTTTCTTGCTTTCGAACTGCTAGGTTGGCAGGAGCCGGGGCCAGAGACGGGAGCTCACTCCGTCACGCGGCACTCGGGTCTCGAACTGCCGAACTACAGACCTTCCGGTCTGCAGCTCAGCGTCCTAACCTCTGAGCCACCGCGGCCCTAGGCTCAGTCTAGCAGGATCCCCAATGGTGGCAGCGGAAAGTGCTGTGAAGTCACAACCGACTGATGGCAGCCCGTCATGGGATTTTCAAGGCAAGAGACGGTCAGAGGTGGTTGGCCATGGCCTGCCTCCACATAGCAATCCTAGATGTCCTTGGTGGCCTCCCATCCAAGCACTTGCCAGGGCCAACCCCGCTTAGCTTCTGAGATCTGACGAGATCGGGCTGGCCCGGGGTCATCCAGAGACAAACAGAGGTGGCGTGCCAACGCCGTTATAGTTACAAGAATGGGCACAGTAATAAGACCAATGAAAAAAGGAAAAAGAACTGTGACAATTTAGCGCTTGGTAATATATTCAGGGGTCATTTTGGGGGGGGACGCGGGGGGACGCCATCCCCCCGAGTGAGGTGCGGGAGGGCGGG